GGAGAGGGCAAAGCCCAATACCTGGAATTTCCCTTTTTAGTTCCATGTGGGGCAATCTCACCTGTCTGTAGCCTGCCTTTCCTAAAATATATTGAAGTCTTTGGTCTGAAATCCTCTTTGTGATTATACAATACCATTTTTCCTTAACTTGTCATTCCTAGCATAGTATTGCTAGAATTAATTGATAGAATACCAATAGACATATTTCAAAAAATAAATGCAACCGTGGATGTACCAAGGCTGTGTCAAGAATCTTGAACACAGCTAGCTGGCCAACTGATGAGATAACATCCATATTTGTTCCCAACCCCAAAAAGTTTGATCCAACAGAATGTGGAAATTATCTAAAACATCATAAGCAATAAAATCTTGCTGAAGATTAAAAAAAAAAAAAAGGCTAGCACATTAAATCATCAATGAACTTCCAGATATTCAAGATGGATTCAGAAGAAGCTGTGGCATTAATATCATTGTTGGTGTCAGATGAATATTGACTGAAAGCAGAGAATGCCAGAAGTTTATTTGTGTTTTATTTACTATGCAAAGGCATTTGATTATGTGGATCCTAACCAATTATGTATAATAGTAGGAATGAGAATGTCAGAACACTTAATTGTGTTCAATAGAAATCTACATTTAAACTAGAAGCTGTTGTCCAAACAGAACAAGGGAACACTGCATAGCTTGATATTAGGAAGGAAAGTGTCGTATCTTTTCTCCATTCCCATTAAATCTGTATGCTGAAAAAAATCATCTGAGAAGCTGGACTTTATGAAGTAGAATGTCATATCAGGATCAGAGGAAATTTCATCAACAATGTATGGTATGTAGATGACACAAACTTACTTGCTGAAAGAAAACTTGAAACACTATCTACAGAATACCAAAACCTACAATACATATGGATTGTATTTCAACATCAAGAAAAACAAATATCCTTAGAACTGCCCTATAAACAACTTCATGATAGATGGGGAGAAAGATTAGAATGATGAGTAATTTTATTTTTCTTGAATCTACAATCAACAGCAATGGTAGTAGTCAAGAAATCAAAAAACATTATACATTGGGAAAATCTACTCTGAAGGACCTCTCCAATGTACTTGAGAGCAGTAGTGTCTCAGTCTTTAGACCATAGTACACCTGATCCAAGGCATGATCTTTTCAGTTTTTCTCTATACATCAGAAAGTTGAACAGTGAAGAAGAAGGACAGGACAAGCAATGTTTTGGAATTGAAGAAAAGTACTGAATAGTTCATGGACTCAAATAACAAACAAATCTGTCTTAGAGGAAATTCAACCAAGATGATCTTTAGAGACAAAATAGTGAAACTTCCTCTCACATGCTTTGGGTTAATTATCTGGAGCGGTGGGGAGATTCCTTTGAAAAAGACATCATTCTGGAAAGGGTGGAGAGTCACAGAAAGAGAGGATGACTTTTGACAAATGGCTTAACATTGTGATTGTAACAATGGCTCAAATATATCAAAGATGTTTACATGGTCAGGATAGGTCAAGGTTCTGATTTGCTGTTCATAGGATTACTATAAGGTGTAGTTGGCTCAGTGGCACCTAATGGCAACAGCAACACACCAGGAAGGGTCAGGTTGACAAGGTTTTTACCAGTCAGGGACTTCTCGATCATGGTAACGATTTTAGACTTCCGGTTTCAGAGCAGTGAACACTCACTAGAAAGTGAAGAACCATTATCAAAGTGTGGTTGGGACTTACTGTATCCATGATCATGTATACATTTTTCCAAAGGAGAATGCAGGTGGTGTGGAGCTCAGGTTGAATGAGAAAGCCTGGAAGAGTGCATTAAAATAATTCATGCCAGAGAAGAGAATCTTTTTAATTAGTTAATGGCTATAGAAAGAGATGGATGAGTTTGAGAGTTGGAAGGTGAAATCTTTTTGAGTTGGAAATGGGTGTTGAAAGTGGGGGAAATGTCAGACTTACACCCTGCTTTGTAGTTTGGGGTCCTGGATGTCTGATAATTCAGGGAATGTCAATGGTGGACTGTTTTGTTTAACTTTACTCACTCGCTCACTGCCGGTGAGTTGGAACCAACTCATAGCTGACCCTCCAGTGGTTTTTTGGAGGCTGTAAATCACACACCAGATTGTCCAGAAACACTGGTGAATTTGACCTCTAGAGAGAGAAGCACCACATTTAGGTTAGCAGTGCAACTCTTTACCCAGTGTTGTTGTTAAGGGCTATCAAGTTGACAAAGGTTCATATTAACCCTATGAGCAACTGATCTATATGTTGCCCTAAATCCTGCGTCATTTCCACCATCTCTGATACACTCATACCCATTTCTAGAGACACTGTCTAAATCCATCTTGTTGAAGGTCCTCCTCTCAATCTCCAATCCTTCAGTTTTCTCAGCATTGTATCTTTTCCTAAGGATAAATCCCTCCTGACAACATACTTAGAGTATGTGAGAGGAAGTTTCACCATTCTTGCCTCTAAAGAAAACTCTGAGCTTCCTCCAGAAAAGATTTGTTTGTTGTTTTGGGAATCTATGGGTTATTCAGTACCCTTCTCCAGCACCACAATTCAAAGCTGTTTATTCTTCGTCTCTTGTCCTTATCCACTGTCTAACTTTCACATGTGTAGGAAGAAGTTGAAAATATCAAAGCTTAACTCAAGTGAACTTTAGTCTTTAAACTAATACCTTTGCTCTTCAGCATTTTGGAGAGATCTTTGCAAGCAGCTTTCCCCAATGCAACACCACCTTTTTTTTTATTTCTTGACTGTTTTTGAAGGAATCAGTAACAACCCCAGTTCTTTCTCCATCTATCATGATTTTTGCTTGTTGGTTCAATGGACTTTTGTTTTCTTGATTATGAAATTTAATCCATATTGAAGGCTGTAATTTTTAATATCCTACAGAAAGTCTTTAATTTAAGCGAACAAGGTTATGTTATCTATATAAACACAAGTTGTTGAGTCTTTCTCCAATCCTGATACCACTGTTATTGTTGTTTTTATGTGCTGTCAAGGCAATTATGACTCATATACAACTCCTTACCCACTAAGCTACCACTAGGGAAAAATATAACCTATTATTTGTGGTTGTAGATATGTTATGCAGATGACACAACCCTGCTCGCTGAAACTGAGGAGGACCTCATATGGACTGAGGCTCAATGTGAAGAAGACAAAAATTCTCACCACTGGACCAATCGGTAGCATCAGGATGGATGGCGAAGAGATTGAGATTGTTCACAGCTTCAGTTTGCTCGGCTCCACGGTCAACACTCTTGGCACCAGTAGCCAGGAAATAAAAAAACATATTGTGATGGGAAAGTCTGCAGTTAGGGACCTCTCTAAAGTACTCAAGAGCAGCGGTGTCTCTCTGGAGACTAAGGTGCGCCTGATACAGGCCATGGTTTTTGCAGTCACTTGTTATGCATCAGAGAGTTGGACAATGACTAGGGAGGATAGAAGGAGAATTGACGCCTTTGAGCTGTGGTGCTGGAGTAGAGTATTGAATGTACCATGGACTGCCAAGAAAACAAATAGATTCATCCTAGAGAGGGTTAAACCAGGCTGCTCCTTGGAGGCAAGGATTCTGGGGCTTCGCCTGACATATTTGGACATGTTGTAAGGAGATACAGGTCTTTAGAGAGGGACATCATGCTGGGTAGAGTAGAGGGGCAGCGCAGGAGGGGAAGACCCTCTATGAGGTGGATTGATTCAGTGACTGGGGTAATCGGGATGGGTGTGTCAGAGGCAATGCGATTGGCACAGGATAGAGCAGGGTTTAGGGCTGTTGTACATAGGGTCGCTCTGAGTCGCAAGCGACTCGACGGCACATAACAACAACAACAACAACAGATATGTGTGCACACTTGTTTTATATTTAAGGTAAATATATAGACATATTCTTCTGGAGTGTTCTTTGGAGGCAAGAATGATGAGACTTCGCCTCACATACTTTGGGCATGTTTCTAGGAAGGGCTATTCCTTGGAGAAGGACATGATACTGGGAATGGCAGATGATCAGCAAAGGAGATGAAGACCATCAACCAGGTGGATTGACATGATGACTGTGGCAATGGGCTCTTGTGTGTCAGGAAGTGTGAGGATGGCGCAGGATAGGACAGGGTTCAGATCTTTCGTTCACAGGGTCACTATGAGTCTTACTCAACTTGACGGCATGTAACAACAACAACATATAGACATATTTAAGACAAATGCATATAACTATTCAAGAAAAAAGCTATGCATATTTAAGTTAAAGATATATATACTTAAGATAAAACACACATACACATATGTACATACTTAAGAAATATATAGACATATACACACAATTTTAAAAGAAATATACACTTATATATTCGTCTGACATACTTTGGACATGTTGTAAGGAGAGACAGGTCTTTGGAGAGGGACATCGTGCTGGGTAGAGTGGAGGGGCAGCGCAGGAGGGGAAGACCCTCTATGAGGTGGATTGACTCAGTGACTGGGGTAATCGGGATGGCTGTGTCAGAGGCAATGCGATTGGCACAGGATAGAGCGGAGTTTAGGGCTGTTGTACATAGGGTCGCTATGAGTCGCAAACCACTCGACGGTACATAACAGCAACAACAACAACACAAAAATATGTATGTTAAGATATATATATGTATATATGTTGTGATGCTATATAGATTTAAAGGACCATTTTTTGAGGGTTAAAAATTTGTATTTAATTTTGCAAAGAAATTGAGGGCCTTTCCAACTTTCAGACCAATTGCTGTGTCAGTCTTCCTGTCTGGGCAGGGGTGTCTGGGCACCGTGTCCAGTGGCAGAGATGAAGCACTGGCCTTTGGAGGGCATTTCAAATCAGGATTGTGGAAGAAAGGAAGGATTGTTGCATGGCTCCCTCATAACCTTCAGCCCATCGGGAGTGTTATTTGCTGGAAATTCTTCCCAGCAGCTCAGAGTGCGGCCCCACTACCAGCCTCTGCAGCCTGGTCTCACTGTCTCCTTTCTGTCTCTTCAAGGCCTTCCCAACCCCTGCTCGACCGCTCCATCCCAGACTTCACGGCCTTCACCACCGTGGATGACTGGCTCAGTGCCATCAAGATGGTTCAGTACAGGGACAGCTTCCTCACTGCCGGCTTCACCTCCCTCCAGCTGGTCACCCAGATGACATCCGAGTAAGTGATGAGAAACCCTTCTTCATTCCATGGGTGGGTGTAGCATTTCTTTCCTGGATGGCGTGGGTCCTGTTTCTCTACATAGTCCTATAGGAGCCTATGAGGGGAGCAAACCGTCAAGTGCCCAACTCTGAACCAATACGTTGGTGGTTCAAGATCACACAGAGGTTCCTCAAGAGAAAACCTGGCAATCTCCTTCTGAAAGGTCTCAATAATTGGGGGGAGGGGAACCCAAAAAAACCCAACCAAAACCCAAAACACTCCTTTGGAACAGTTCTGTTCTGCACCTGGGAGGTCACATCATGTGTTAGAATGGTTCTGAAGGCAACCAACAACAGCGTCCATGAGGGGTAGTGAAGTTGTTCTGTCTGTATAGAGCCAGCACTGAAAGGGAGGAGCGGGGAAGATTTAAGGGATGAGATGGGGAGATAGGTGTCTGTTTTGAACCCCAAATGAGAGTTCTTCAAAGTCCCAGCCATATGTCACTTCCCTAATCACCAAGAGACTCTCCTCATTTAAGTTTTTAAACTCAGACCGTCAAAGAGAGCATCCAGATGGAAAGAATGCAGCCAGCCAGCACTTTAAGCAGCACAGCGGGAAAGAGACATGGGTCTGATTCAGCAGCTCTCTCTTTGTGGGATGCACACTCCAACCACACTTGTGAATAAGCACATTTTCTCTGTCCTCCACAAATTATTTACCAGCCGGCTGCCTCCTCCCCATCCCAGAGAGCAGAAAAATACAAAAATAAAATTATTCCAGTTAAATGAGAGTCAGAAAGGATCTTTAAGGTCTATGTCGCCCATCATTTTCTCCAAGCTTGTTCTGAATCACACCGGATCTGAGAAATGTTATTAGTTTCTCCTTGGGAAAGGAAAAAAAAAGGGGTCCCCTGGTCAAATAAATTTGGGAAATACTGCTCGTCTTATCTTCCGTTTGGAGACATACTGCACGTATTAGCATTGCAAAGGCCATGAAAAAGCATGACATAAAGAAACCCATTTAAAATTACTAAATGCCATGGAGTCATATTTGTGAGGGGCAGGGCTTTGTGGAACTGGAGTGTGGTAAATATTCATTTAGTCTCGCCCCTTCCACTCTGCAGATACAGAAAGCAGGTGATGTTAAAGGGCCTGCCTGAAGATACAGTGCTGACGATGGTAAAGCTGAGAATAAAGCCTCCTTTCCTTACTGCCAGCTCAGTATCCTTTCTGTGGTCCACCCCGGGCTGCCATGGGGCCCCCCATTGGCTACTCACTGGAATCACCTGGGGCTCTTAAAAAAAAAACCAACAGAAAACAAAAAACCACAAACCTGATGCCTGCCTCCCGCTCTTGGGCTTTTAAAATTTCACTGGTATGTGGTGAATTAACGCGTTTGACACCACATCAGCGTCACAGTGTTCAGGTTCATTACAACTACCAGCTATCGCTGTACGGCAAGTGGACACCAGGGCTATATGACCCAGAAGAATATTTGAACAAAAACAATGAAAAAACAGGCCCAAGGGCCGTGGATTAAAAGTCACCCACCTTTGAGGCTTGGGTTTGGGGTTTTTCAAGACTCTCCACCTAACTTATTGCCATGGAGTCAACCATGACTCATGATGGGAGTTTTTAGCGGCCTCTTTCCCCAAAGCAAACCACCAGGTTCCATTTGTATCTGAGGTAGCTATTGGGGGGCGGGGGGTGGGGCGGGGATGGACTCAAACCTTCAACCTGTCTGTCTGTCAGCGGCCAAATGCCAGAACCATTGTCATGCTGAGAGATTCCGCAGCTTATTCTAATATACAGTCACATCCGGAGACTCCTGGACTAAAGCTGGCAAGGGATTACTTTTGCCTTTTCCACGCACAGATGTTCAAATAAATCCCACCCAGAAATTAACTCTCCTCCCTCCCCCAGCCCCAATACACACACCTCAGAGTGTATGTTACTTCTGAGCTGCAGGGACAATAGCATGCACTGATAGCCCAGGCCTGGGCCCAGGGGCATGTATCACATTTCCAGTGAGAGGAGGCTTGGTCCTTCCTCGTGTGTGGCAGGCACAGTGCTAGGCGCTGGCACCCCTCCTGGGGCATGCTTCTTGGTGACTCCAACAGAATCAGGTGGTCACTCGCCACCAGTCACTGCAAGCAGCTGAGCCTCTCTGCCTGACTCCCACCTGGGAATTACCGTTCCCGGAGTCCAGCTCTGCCTCTGAGGTTTATTCTTGTCAGCAGTGATGGAGGAGAATAAACCTCAGAGGCATTTTCCCTGGGGAGGTGGTTTGAGTGTTCATCTAGCCTTGAATCTACTCACTTAAACATCACAATATTTTTTTTAAAAAAACAACAACAACCAAAACCCTAGCTTCATTTCCTGGTGATGCCTAAAAAAAGACAGTCCCTGTCATTATGAATTATTGTCTAGTAGACAGTGGGGGGGGGGAGCTACTCACTATTGGAAACGAAGCCTCATCATCTTGCCAAGCTGAAACAGGTGCCTCTGGATGCTTTGTGGGGTCTGGGGTTCAGAGAGGGATGTGGGGGCTTCCTGAAGACAGGCTCCTTTCTCCTGCTTTGTCTCTGTGGTCCTGGCTGGCTGTGCCTCATCCCCCAGCGCCCAAGGGAGTCAGGTGAAGGAAAGTGACATTTCTCAGTCTGGAGTGTCCGTGTGGGAAAATGGCAAGGGTAAAGTGGAAGGGAGTGTAAGACTATTGAGGGATTTTGTTCGGAGTATAACATATCCACACGCTACTAGAACCATTCGGTAAATTTCTCAAGAGATAAAAGATGGGGGAAAATGAACAATTAAATAACAGAATATTGGCCAGTTGGTGCATTCAAAATTCAAGCATACTGTTCAGGAGTATTTGTTGTGAAGAAATGGGTTATTGGATCATCTCAGCCTCTGGGGGACTGATTGTCAGCAAACAATCGGAGGTTGGAGTGGGGAGAGGCAGGGAGCTGAGGATGGCACTGGCATCAGATCTCCTTGCGGGTCCAGTGTGTAGTGTATGAAGCGATCTGCTGGGCTAGGGCCGGGAACTTCGGGTAAAGTACAGTGAGGAGCTCTGAGCACAACTCTGCTAGCGGCTGATGGTGTGACTGTCTTGTACTTGAATCACAGCGCCACTGCTCACTCACTATGTGAGTTTATACAGATCCTTGCATCTTGTTAACTTCTCTGAGTTCAGCCTGTTTAGTCTGTAAATCCATATATAATCATGGCGCCCACTTCATTGGTTTAAAAGATATATTGAATGGTGCATGCCAAGCTGTTGGCCAATGTCTGTCTACAGGATGTGCAGAATCAGTGGTTGTTGTTATCTAGTAATACTATTACTACTACTACTACTACTACTACTACTACTACCACCACCACCACCACCACTATCGGAGCTCTGGTGTCCTAGTGGTAAGAAGCTGCGCTGCAATCCTGAAGGCATGTGGTTCAAGACCACTAGCCGATCTGTGGGAGAAGGGTGGGCAATCTCCTCCCAAGCAATTAACTACCTTTGAAAACTGTGGAGGGTCAGCTATGGGTCGGTTCCAGCTCTACGGTACACAACAACAACAGTAGTATTAACTATATGATGGTTTACCAACTTTCATGAAATATGTTTAAATGAGATGTTGTGTTGTTAAGTGCCGTCGAGTCGTAGAGAACTCATAGCAACCCTATGACCAAAAGACCTTAGCACTGTTCATAGAGTTTCCAGAGGCAAGCCATTCTAGGAAGTGGATGCCACTCTTGCTTCCAAACTTGTTTTAATCGGGGAGCTCCACCAAACACTGCCCACCAGGGGTAACTATTATTGCATTTGGCACATCAGTGTCACAATGTTTAGCATCACAGTGACCACAAGTTACTTCTGTACAGCAATGCACAGACCAGTACTATACCACCTAGAAGAATGATCAAAAATAATTTGAACCAGGCCTGAGGGCCGCAGATTAAAATCACCCACCTTGGGCTAGGTCAACGTAGCTCTCTCTATGTTGTCGTTGTTATTGTTGTTAAGTGCTGTCTTTATGGAATATTTAAATGAGATCATTTGTGGGATGTAGGAATTCTTCAAGTCATGTCATATAATGTTATTATTAACCAAGCAAAGATTCGTGGGTCAAATAGAAGGCATCAACTTATTAAGACTCACAGTTCAAAGATGAATCCACCCCTATTGCAAACCCTTGGGTTCCTGCTTGGTGAGAAAATGTAAAGTTATTTTGGTCACCCTTCTTAAAAATGCATGACATTAAAATTCACACAGAAGCAGAAAATGGAAACATAAGGAAAAAAAAACATGAGAAAGCCAGACAAGCCCCACATCTTTTCAAATCTCTGTAGGTGTTCAGTAATTTAAGCAGAACGCCCCGTGGGGTAGTAAAACCTCATCCAGTGTGCACTTGGAGTGGTTTAAAAATATATATATATATATATCTCAGAGGAAAGTTCCAGGCCACATGAGTGCCACAGTAAAGGTGTTCCATCACCCACAGTTAAAATAAGACGGCATGGCACTTCCAGGACTGTGGGTGTTTGGTGTAGATTTAGGAAACAAAGGGTAGTGCACAAAGAAAGGGAGTTTGAGCCAGAAAATACATCCATGTTGTTGTTTATCAAAGATCCAGGTAAACAGACTAGTTAGATTTGAAATACTTTTGTTTTTCTGCTCGACTGTTATGGGGACGATGTACAGTGTTGAGCTTTAGTGGGTGGAAAGCTCCCTGGATGTTTATGTGACCTTTGTTCGTGCGGCTTTTTGTCTTCTAGAGACCTCCTGAGAATAGGGGTGACGTTGGCAGGCCATCAGAAGAAGATCTTGAACAGCCTCCACTCCATGAGGGTCCAGATGAGTCAGTCACCAACAGCCATGGCGTGAGCACTCTGGTCTTCTGGGGCAAGGAGAGGAAGGACAGCGGCCGGCCGCCAAGGGCACACGTGCGATTGACCACTGTGGAATGTTCAACGAAGGTTGTCTTCTTCTCTGAGAAGCGCATTGCTGTTAATGAAGGATGAACTCGTGGCCAGTTCCTGGTGACAGAGGCTGGACAGCCCTTATTTCTTGGTGACAGAAGTGCATCGAAGATGCTGTGGGAAGCCAAATGGATTAATGGTAAAATGACAATTTTTTTGGAAGGAAATGAAGATGAAACGGGCTGCACTTGGGGAAACAAGAGTGAACTCCGCTTCCGCCTTCGGGAGGTGGAAGTCGTCCGTCCGCAGCAAGAAAGGGAAGGAGGTAGAAGGGAGAAGCTGAAGGAATGTTCCATTCTCTTCCTTACCAATGATGTTCTTTTCTTTGCTCTTTTCACACTTCTTCCCCAGGACCCTCCCTCCCTTCTCCCGTATCCATGTCCCTTTGCTCATGACCCGTGTAGGGAAAGTTTCTTCAAATAAACCCCAGCTCCTGAGACTCCGGATGTCGTTCTGTCAGTTGCCAAAGAACTTTACTGACCACTGCATGGGGGGATCCAACCAATTCAATTAATGTCTTCATATTGAAGAAGAGATGTACCTTCAATTGAAAACCTTGTTTTTTCTTTTGTTTGCATTTTCTGCAAAAAGGAAAAAAAAAAAAGAAAGAAACCACTAATTGGAGATTTAAAAAAAAAAGAAAAACCTGTTTCTGTGTGCAGGAGCACATACACACGTGTGTCTGTGTTATGAAATGACTGTGCTTGTTCGTAACAGATGCAAACGAGAAAGAACTGGCAAGAGTCCCTGTCCCTGGGGAACCCGAAGGGGCAGAAATGTGTTGTTGGTATGGCTTTCTGGTTGACCCAATTAGCCTACGGCTCAATGGGAAGAGAGGGTATGAGGGGTAGAAATACAATGACAGGTAGAAGGGAGGGGCAGATAAAACTCTCACGAGTTGGCAAATCCAGACAGGAAACAGGCGAATGGTTTGAATTGGGTGCAGTGTGGGCCATTCTAGAATGCTGCTGACTGATGAATTATTCTTGGTCACATCTGAAGAAACGGAGAAGGAATGTGTCTCTGGAGAATGCTCTTCCACATTCATGGAATCTGCAATTCAAGAGAGGGGTGGGGCAAGGGAGAATCCTTCCTGCCTCCCCTGTGGACTGGCTGAAGCCTCGTGGCACCAGAGGAATGTCTGAATTGTGTCCATGTTTCTCTTTACATTCCTTGTTGTATCTCATTGTTCGATTCACTTTTGTAAATTCCACCTAACATTTGGGTATTTTTAATTTCTCCTTTTACCTTAATCTCCTTGCTAATTTTATCTGTCTAATTAAAAGGAGCAGAAGCATGTCTGGGTTTACATAGAATGGTGTCAGCGTGTGTGTTCCTGGACCCCGTTGGGCTGTTCCCAAGTTAGCAGTTGTTGGTGTTTTTTGTATACCATTGAGTTGGAACCAACCCATCACTGACCTTCTGGTGGGTTTTCAGAGGCAATTAATTGCACAGGAGAAGATTACCCATCCTTCTCCCATGGAGCAGCTGGTGGGTTCGAACCAGGTGGCTTCCGATTGCAGTGCAGCTTCTTGCCACTAACAATTGTCCTTCCCCCTATATATGGGAGGGGGAAGCAGCTTCCTGGCCCTCCAGACTTCAGAGGAGCAAAATATTTTAGAACCTCTCTCACTGATGTGACCCAGAGGAAAAACAGAATAAATATGAGGCTCTCTGAAGCCTTAAGTATGAGGCTTAGAGAAACCGCTGGTGAATAAATATAATCGCCAGTAATACACCCCAGCCCTGACTTCAATGTACACACGGCATTCAAGAAGTTCATACTGAGGCCAATTCTGTGGAAGCTGCTCAAAAATATTTTAAACCGCTTGTTTGCAGCAAGCCTGGGAAGTCACAGAAGGTGTAAGCCGCGGAAATATGTTTTAGTCTTCTTCCATTGCTTGTGGAATACTTATTTAAGGTGGAGTTTGTCTTTTCTACTAGTCCTGCGAAACTTTGTGCATAAGAAGGTCTTCCTGAAATCACTAGCCAAGTTTCTCTATAGAAAGAAGTCCCCTTAGGTTTAAAGTTCCAGCTCTAATCTAGATATTTGTTTTGTTTTGTGCCGTCAAGTTGGAACCAACCCATGGCTGACCCCCCAGGGGGTTTTCACAGGCAGTAGATCTCACGGGAGGAAATTGCTCATCTTCCTTTCAAGGAGCAGCTGGTGGATTTGAACCCTGTGCCTTTGGCATTGCAGCATAGCTTTTTACCACTAGGCCACCAGAGTGCCCTGTTTTTAAGCTCTGATCATCTGTCTCCCCTGGGGAGAGGAGATACACAGCAGTCTCCCAGAAGGCTGCAGAGGGGCAACACAGCAGTTAAAAGAGAAAAATCCCTTCTCATTGATTGCTTGCCAATTCCACGCACAATTTGCTAATTACCCCAAAGACCTCAATCCACGGAATGTCTTACAAGCCCAGACAATTCAGCTAATCTACTCTCAATTTTCCACAAGAATGAATTTTAATTTGTCACCAAATTCTCAGGCAGCTTCCTTAACCCAGAATCCTCACTGGGACTCCACCAAAGCCGGTCTGCCTTCTCATTTTGGTTTGGTTTCACCAGGAGGGAGGGAAAAAAGCCTTTTTTGAACATCAAGGAGGAGTATTAGGGTCACAGAGTTGAGGCTAAGGGACCTGGAGGCACAGAACTCAGTGAGACTCCGTGGGAAGGTTATGGCCAAGTTCTCCACAGACTTCCTTTGGCTGTAAAAATATCCTAGGAGATGTGGGGTAGAGCTAGTAAGAAAGAGTTCTTTTGGTTCAGGCTGCCTGGACTGAGATTACATATGTGACCCATCATCTGGGTATTGTTACCGGTATATAACATCGAGTCTGAACTGATCGCACACCCTCACGTGGCTTTTCAGAGGCAATAAATCACATGGGAGGAAATTGCCCACCTGCCTCCCTGCGTAGCAGCTGGTAGATTAGAACCATGTGCCTTGGGGTTGGCAGTGTAACTCTTTACCACTAATCCACCAGGTCATCTGGTCAAGAAGGAAATTTGGACCAGATCCTATCTCACAATCACGGAGCGTGGTGGTCGGGGAACCTGAAGTCCAGGAAACCTGGGAAGTGGTAGAGAAATCACATAACTTGGAGAAAGGGGAGCTTCACTGTTGGATCCCCACACTTGGATCTTTCCTGGATTGACCTTGAAGGCCTTCTCATGCATGGTGCTGAGAGGCGGGGACAGATGATCCAATAAGCAAGACTGTCTTCCTTGTATTTCTTTTCTAATCCGTAAGAAAAACTCCTGAGGAAGCAGCCACTAGGTATCAGCAATTAGGCATAAAGAAGTTCTTGTATACCTTGCTCACTGGTTACTCCTCCGTCTCGGGAGCTAGAAATGAGAAAAGAGCTTTGATTCTATAGGCAGGTGCCTTGGGGTTGTGAAAGCGACAGAAGCCAGCTGTACCTAGAAGCAGAGTCTTTGACATCCTGAAAGTACGTGGAATTGTTCACTGCAGATTAACAAGTAAGCGCACATGACCCCTTGCTCTCTCGCTTATCAGATGACCTCGCAGTGGCTAAGAGTTGTGTCCTGTAACCACCCAGTGATTCCCCGATTCAGAGGGGACACAGACACATCTTATTCCCAAGCAGCGTCGTCTCTGCTTCCACCTGGCCCTGGCACCCGACACTCCTTGACATAATGCAGGAACTCAATAAATGTTTTCAGATTCAAACAAGAACAAATTGAGAAATGGAAACATGTCGTTATTTCACCTGCAGAGATCCATGACCCTACCTTTGAAAGAAATTAATCCCTAGGCGATTAGTTGGAATGTTTCTCACTGGCTGTGAGCACCTGTCAATTGACTTCCATTCTAATTTTAGTTTTGTGAAGTTTGAAACACTCCTTTTATAGCCTCGCCTGAATCTTCACTAGATAACACACTCCTCCCCGGAGCTCTGACTTGGGGTAACTCAGCCTGCTACCGAATGTCAGTCACTGTGTAGAACCCCCAAGCTGCAGAGGGGAAGGTGGCCCAGTCTCTGCGACACCAGAGGCAAAAACAAAGAGCAGGAACAGAAGATCCTTCTGAGAGGAGGACCGGTGTCCTGCCAGGGGGACATCTAGCTGCCCAAAGATGGAAGGACTTCCCAGGCCAGGGAACTCTCACTCTGCTGTATTAACACTCCCTCCACTATCTTCCAGGGGCGTGGCGGTGAGAAGCTGAGCCCAAAGGCATGTCAGCTGTTGGAATTCACCAGATGTTGGAATACAACAGCTGTTCTGCAGGTGAAAGACAGGCAAACTCCTCCCCATGTAATTTACTGTCTCCGAAAACGCACTGGAAGGTCAGCTATAGGTCAATGCCAACTTGATTGTACATAGCAAGAACAATACCACGATCTTCCAAGGGTTTTTTTGCCTTTCTCAGTCACCATTAGTCTGAAAATCCCTGTAGCTTCCCACACATCAAAAGAAGGGGGGGGGGAATTTAAGAAAAAAAAAACACGAAAGGATAAACTAGTTTCTAAGGTACTGTGAGACAGAACTCTGCTCTTGTGGTCCAAAAGAAATCCTTTGCACCTCTCTGAGACTTTGATTTCCCTTTCTCCAGACTTATTTCGATTGGTACTTGCATGTACATTAATAAGTGTTATTGCTTTGGAAATGAAATTCTGGCGCAGAATACAGTGCCACAAAACTCTAGCCATCATCTTCTAGAAGAAATCAACTTTGTAATAATGTCAACAGGGCAATAAACAAGGCTATCAGAGCCAAGGAATCCCTGGGTTATGTATTCTAAAGAACGTTATAATCAGGGGCATGGATAGACCCTTGGGCCGTGGTGCGTGGGACGTTCTCACATACCTGTCAGAAAAAGAAGAGCCTTGATTTTTCTGATCTTTCACTTCCACCACTTACAATCTTACTATGTTATCACAGAGTCTTGAAAGAACTCCCCTGTTGTTGGGAACCATGTTTTGGTTCAGTGGTACACAACATTCTTACTACAACATCTTTCCAGACATCCTTCCAATTAGAATGAATGTTTAAATGATTGAACACTAATTGAAAGGGTAAGAGTTCAAACTCAACTAA